CAAGTGCTTCTGTTCTGTGTTTGTAAGTGCTTATAACATACTGTCTCTAATATGTTAGGATGTACTACGTCAGCAGATTAGCTTTTAAAGTTAACAAAGTTTATACTATTAAAAGAGATTTGAGTTCTGCCAACTTAATCAGGTTTACAGTGTACTTCCTAGATTTAAGTTATAGTAACTAATTAGTACTATTAACTTCCGAGTTAATTGGAAACAAATCAAATATTTTTTCATGCTTAAATTGTTTGAGTTAATAAACTTAATTGATTTAAGGCAATCGGTTTCCTCAAACTGTTTGAGTTGAACTAACTCATCAGGTTTTACAGTGTGGAAGAATGTTTGTTTATGAGTTTGAAAGAACCTTTCCAGAACGTTCCGTCAGCTTGGATTCAGTGTTCACAGTGTGTGCAGTAACCAGTACACTAGTGCTGAATTCAGAACAGCATACTAGCATTCTAGTCTTACTCTGCCATATGCTCATGTAATAATATTCATCCTCCTATTCCAGTGGGCATTCAGAGGTCAGCGAGAGGAACCACACAAACTGTTTCTCTTTCTGTCAGAACACAGGAGTGATGAGGAGCAGCAGGAGAGCTGAAGGTCCAGAACGCTGCCTCCTGCTGGACACACACACACAGACGTCTGGAGGAGGTTTATGTGCGTCTCATTAACCCTGTGTGCTCCTCAGAGAAGCGTGGGCGAGAGAGGCCGTCTGCAGAGAAACATCAGTGTGTTTTATGGTGTTTCCTCAGTGTTTTGTCTGCTGGTGAGAGCACATTTAGGTTCAGAAACCTAAAAATGAGCATTTCTTGATTTAAACCATCTCCAGAGAGCAAGATATCAGGTTAATATAACAAAAATATGTCTGCAAGGTTCACATAATGAGCAAAAAAGTCAGATTGTGAATGAATGGTTATTTTGGATTAGGCGGTTCACGAAACGGTACTAAATTATTCATGCAAAAAAAAAAGAAATGATGTTAATGCAAAGTATATTTAAGTGAAAAGTGTGTAGCTTTTGTAGTTTGCGTGATTTCCTCAAGCCTACAGAGATCTGAAACAGGAGAAGACCGACATGCATCGCTCACGAGGAAAGCGGGACGTTTGATCAGCTCGTAATGAAGTTGTCGCACACAATCAGAGCTCACATCTTCCAATCCCCTGCGGCCGCTGAGCTGGACATGACAGCAGTGATGGATGATGGGAGAAAACATGGCCTTATGGGAGTGACAACAGGAGGTCAGCAGCTCCATCTGATCAGGTTTGAGTCTGACACACGTGAACTGAACATCTAACTCGTCTGTTCCTCACAGCGGATCATTACAGCCACACGGAGACTGATGAGAGCGTTCAGAGGAAGGGGATCGTTTTATTACATTTATTGGCAAAAACCCAGAATGTTCTGGCAAGGTATGAACAAACATTAATAAAATGTTTGTTCAAAGTTATCTGGTCTTTAAAGCTTCTCAAAATGTTTTTTATACACTTTTTTTTCCTGAAACGTTTTAGTTTGACGGTCCGCAAACGTTTTTGAAAATGCTGCTTGTTTCTTTACTTATCATCCATGTTGTGGAAAATTGTCTCTGGCTTCACTGTACATATACATCACCACATAAATACACAAAAACTTTTTTTTTTTATTCTGAACGTTTGCAGGACATTCAAAAGTTACGTTCCCATAATGTTTGCTGAATGTTTTGTTTTAAAAAGTCTACAAACTTCACATACTCTTAAAAATGCAGCGTTTAATTGGTCCTGATCCATAAACATGGCGGATTTTCTTCTTCCATAAGGAGGATTCGCTTCCCAACGGCTTTGTATCCAGGCAGATCGTTTTGGCAAGCCGTTTTAACTTTTATTCATTTCCAGGATATGAATTCTTAATATCAAAAATTGTATTTTCTCTAGTGAAATGTCACCATAGGCTGCCATTCAAAATCAATTGTTGATATCAAGAATTGATTTCTTACTAGTTGAAATTCCAATTTCACATATCAGAAATACAATTATTACTAGTAAAAACCATTATTTTTGATATCAATAATTCAATTGTTACTAGTTGAAATGTCTATTATTGATATCCACAATTTAACTGCTACTAACAATGATAATTTTTGACGTCATCAATAATTCAATTTTTACATTTCTGATATCATGAATGTGTTTGTTACTAGTAAGAAAGCCATTTTAGATATCTGAAATAATATTGATATCAGAAATACATTTTCATATATCAAAAATTATAATTTTTATGAAAAGTAATGCATTTGGTTACTTTTGCGTTCATTTTTCTCATCTGGGCTGGGCTTGCATGTTTGTTTTTTAATAATAATAATAAAAAGTTATATTTTCATGTTATATGCCACAATGCCTTTGAACAGTTTGCACTGAAACTGTCTTTTGGACCTTGAACCGTTTGGTTCCCATTGAAGTCCATTATATGGGGAAAATCCTGGAATGTTTTCATCAAAAACCTTCATTTCTTTTCGACTGAAGAAAGAAAGACATGGACATCTTGGATGACATGGGGGCGAGGAAATTATCAGCAAAAGTTTTTTTAAAAGTGAACTACTCCTTAAAGTCGGCCTATGTATTCGAATATCTGGTCTTGCATTACAAAAGTAGTTGTTGAGTCGCCACACAGATCTTTGCTAACAGTGTCGTAGCTCTTGATGCCTGTGCTTCAGCAGGAAGCCTGCGGTGGCCTCGCGAGACTCTCCTCGACTCGGATGCTGAACGCCTCGTGCTTCTGTAACACAGCTAATGTGCGGCGAGCGCCGGCTCTCTAGGGCTCTGCCGTCCGAGCGCTGCTTTATAACCCTCCTGACAAACACACACTCCTTTATAGATGTTTTTGTCCTCTAGCTGGATTGGTTTTCTTTTGAGAGCTTATTTCATGCAATAATAGTGTCACGCGGTGCTGTCTTGGTCCATATATCAGAATGAGGGAGGTTAGGTGGTGTGGCAAGCCGTTTTGACTTTCAATCATTCCCAGGATATTCATTTGTGATTTCAACAATTACATTTTCACTAGTTAAAATGATCATTCTTGTTATCAGGGATTGGATTTTTACTGGCAATGCCAATTTTTGATATCAGGAATTGCTTTTCCACTAGTTAAAATGTTCATCACTCGCAGAAATATGAAATCTTGATATCAACTAGTAAGAACTATAATTCTTGATATGTGTAATTGTATTTTCACTAGTTAAATCTCACCATAGGCTACCATTCAAATTCAGTTGCTCATATTAAGAATTGATTTAGTTGAAATTCCAATTTGACGTATCACAATTCTTACTATAAAAATAGTATAATTACTTACTAGTAAAAATGTAAATTCCTGATATCAAGAACTTAGTTTTCTGTAAATGTATTTAAATATATTATAGACTTAATATGTATTCCTGATATCAATAATTTGGAGAGTAATTTTAGATATCTAAATGACTTTTTTTTATTATTAACTTTATAGACATTACACTTCAATCAGATGTACCTCAGATCTGTACATCTATTCATCAGAAATATATTATTATATTCTTACTAGCAACGATCACATCCATGATATCAGAAATGAACATTGTCACTAGAATTATTGATATAAAAAATGAACATATATAGCAATTCAATTATTGATATCAAGAACAGTCATTTGCACTAGTAATCACATAATTATTGATATCAACAATTGAACTTGAATGGCAGCCTATGGTGACATTTAACTAGTGATGACATCATTGTTGATATCAAGAAGTGAAAATTGAATTGTTGAAATCCAGAATGGGAATGATTAAAAGTGGAAAAGGCTTGCCATATATGTGGGAAGGTGAAGGACTTCTGCGCTGAAGCTGATGAACGGCGTGATCTCATCGAGTTGCTCTTTTCTGCGTCTGTTTTAATGCTGTAATTCTGCCTGAGCTTTATAAAGACATTCTTCAGTATAATTGCAACATAAAGAAACCTGAGCGGTGCCAGAACGTTTTGTTAACTTTCCCATTAAGTTGCGAAAACTTTATTTCTGAATGTTCTCAAAGTTCAAACGTCCAGTTTATAATTTTTCAAACATTAAATGAAGGCTATTTTTGAATGTTCTCTGAACTAATTGTTTTGTTGGTGAACATCCAACTATGGATAGACTATAAATCATGTTTTGTTGTGAAATTGCCATTATAATAAACACCAAACCTTTTACATTTGATAATGTAACACACAGAGAGCAAACATGTCTAAAAATGACTACCAATCTTTACCTGATGACCATTAAAAAAGTCACAATGATTTATTGATTCATTCATTTATTTTTTCCTCAGCTATAGGGCTATCTATAAATTATTATTGGCCAATATCTTCTTTGGATCACTGGTATTCGCTGATTAAAAATCAGACTGCAAAAGTAATCTATTGACAACCATTAAAACAAATGTATTTTGACAGAATGAAAATGATTTATTTCACTAATTTATTCTCTGTCTCTATACATTATACACATTTTGACCACTGATACTCGCTGATTAAAAATCGCTTAGAAAGGAATTAGATACAAAATAGCTCCAATGATAATAATAATAAAAACATTAGCATATGTAAATAAAACATTTACATACAAATTCCAATCGAAAACAGTGTTAACTAATAGACAGCCACAGTATAGATACTGTCTATGAAATGAAACATTTTCCAGTGAATTACATTTACCCAGCAGCACCTCCAATAATTATATTTGCCCGAATGCCAAATCCTCCTATTTATCAGAAGAACTCAGACTGAATTTGATTGTTTCGATCTATTTAATGAATCTCTGATTTAGACAGCTGGGACTCTTATTCTGAAATGACGACGGCCTAGTTTATGCAGGGATTTGATTAATCGCTGTATATATTTAATTTATTTGGATGATGATTATTATTATTATTATTTGAATTGATATGCTACTTTATTGTCTTTATTGTTATTTTAAGTGGTGGGTGTGGACGGGGACTCTTATTTTGAAGTGTTTCTGTGGGCGCTAGTCGGATAGCGGAAGTTCGTGCCTCTGGAAGCTGCAGTTCAGGCGGATCCCGTCAGTGTCTAAGCATAAACTTTCTGTCAAACCCGAAAAACACACGCAATCCGGTGAGTGAACCGCTGACACACTTCATACAGTCGTTAAACACTCGGGGGACATGAAATAACACCCGTAGCGCAGGCGCGAGCCAGTGTAGGAGCGCAGGCCTATGATACTGTGTGTGTGTGTGTGTCTGTGTTTTCAGGTGACATGGGGGATAAGGAGTTGATGTGGGCCCTTAAAAACGGAGATCTGGATGAGGTTAAGACTCTCCTGGTTAAGGTGAGAAATACACACTCAAGTTTCATCTGTCCACATACATAACCGAGTACAAACAGGTCTGACAGCTCGTCAAGGTTTATAAATCCTTACAAAACAGGATTGTGATGGTATCATGGTTTCTGATCTGTATCATGACACTGATTGATTACCATTTAGCATGTCAAGCTGTATTACTGTGATACAGAAGCAGGTTATCATGTTATGGTCCAGAAAGCACAGTAATAATATGGTACTTAGCAGTTAAAGCAACACGTGGATGTTTTCTTGTCAACATTAAACAATATGTTTGCTTTGCATCCCATTTTATTTGATAATTTCGATGCATTTATTAGTGGACCCAGCTACTAACAAGCTGACTAGTTTTTCTATTTTTGTAGTTTTTCTCTTTAAAGCATCACTTCAGCAGTTGTTTTTCTCCTGAAAGATTGTCTAATAGGAAATGAGGCACTGATGAAGTCAGCCATAAAGGACAGTCGTTTCAGAAGCAGAGCACAATTTAACTTGTTTATCAACAGAAATAGTTTACCAAAAAACTATAATGACAAAATAGCATCAGGAGATAGTGACGTGCTCTGTCTGATGGTGATGTTTTTCTTGGTGTGTGTGTGTGTGTGAGAGAGAAGAGAGAGAGTGTGATTATTTTACCAGAAAACTGTAAGGACAAAATTGCATCAGTAGATAGTGAAATGTTTTGTTCGGATGTTGATGTTTTTTTTCTGGTGTGAGAGAGAGAGAGAGAGTGAGTTTGTGTGAGTGTGTTTTACCTGAAAACTATGATAAGAAAATAGCATCAGTAGATGTGAAGAGTGTTTTCTGATAATTATACACTGGTTTTCTTGGTATTTTAAAGTGTGAAGTCAATCTAGTGATTGTTTATTAGCAGAGTGGGTTAGTTCATTACTGTGGTTGTGTTAATGGTTTAAAGATTCTCTCTCTCTCTCTCTCTCTCTCATCTGTTAAGTGTGTATCCTGTGTCACAATATCACATCACCTCCTTGTGTAACTATATACATTCTTCACACACACAAGCAGCTCGCAGACCCCAAAGGAGTGTTTTTGAGTGCTGAAATGATGAGTGTGTGTGTCTGAGAGAGAGAGTGTCAGAGAGAGAGAGAGAGAGAGAGAGAGAGAGAGAGAGAGAGAGAGAGAGAGAGAGTGTGTGTGTGAGAGAGAGAGAGAGAAAGAGAGAGAAGGAGAGTGTGTGTGTGTGAGTGCCGAAATGATGAGTGTGTGTGTGTGTGTGTGTGAGAGAGAGAGAGAGAGAGAGAGAGAGAGAGAGAGAGAGAGTGTGTGTGTGTGTGTGAGAGAGAAAGAATGAGAGAGACAGTGTGTGTGTGTGAGAGAGAGTGTGTGTGAGATCGTCCGGTCAGCGCTGAAGATCTGGTAAATGTTCAGTGTTTCGTCATGGAGGCGTTTTGCGTTCTCGTGTGGTCGTGATATATTTAGCTCAGCGGTTTACCTCGGTTCACACACACACACACACACACACAGGTTCACACGATGAAGTGAAGCAGCAGTAAAATAAAATAAAAAAACAGCAGTAAAATTAAAAAATAATAATAAAAATAATCCTTTTCTTTTAAATCCTCCTTTTCTTTTAAGTCCCTGCTTATCTGGCTTATGCCACCCTAAGCAATGTCTGAACTTTGTATTTTGAGCACTTGAGTTGTTTGCCTCTTCACGATGACTCACTTGGTTTAGTCCTCAGTTGTAAGTCGCTTTGGATAAAAGCGTCTGCTAAATTTAAAATGACTAAATGTAAAATAAATGTAATTTAAAATATATAAATGTCTTCGGACTAATACACGAGTTGACTAATAGACTAGATGATCTGCTGATAACCTTCTTCTTATGTCTATTTTGGGGTGAAATCCAGTAAATTAAACCCCTTCTCAATATTCTCATTTTAAAACACTCAATCAAAAGATAAAATAACGTTTACATTGATTTCTATATAAATATTTTATATTATTATTATTTCCATACAATAATAATGTTATGCATTGTCTAATATGTGATAATTAGCTAAGTAATATATTCAATATTTATATAATTATAATTATTAAATAACAAACTTAAAAATATATTTTACTGAATAATATAATATTTAATGCTAAATATTATTATATTTATGATTAAAGTATCCTAATATTTTATATAATTTTTGCCATGCTCATGTAAAAATCATATTAAACAAAATATGACTTAATAATTAGTTATATATTTAATGCTAAATATTATTATACAATAACATACAATCAAATATAAACAATAAAATCATACTATTAGATATAAACAATAATATATTATAATTAATAATAATATTAAAATGAACAATGATATAATATAAATATATATTAATAATATTTTTAATAATAAACATCATATTTATAATGATTTAAGTGTATAATATGATCTGATTGTAATGATATGTTTTAGAATGGTGATATAATAGTGTGTGTGTGTGTGTGTGTGTGTGTTGTGCAGGCGGAGGATGTGAACCGGACTCTGGAGGGAGGCCGAAAGCCTCTTCATTACGCTGCAGACTGTGGTCAGAACGAGATGCTCGAGTTTCTGCTGTCGAAAGGAGCCGATGTCAACGTAACTGTCCTTCTACACACACACACACACACACACTAGCTCAACTCTGTGTGTTTAGATCAATATCTGCTGGAGTATGTAAATGTTTAGCATGTGGAGATATTAGACCCGCACCCTCGGCTGATACCATCAGAGCACATCAGAGACTTCTGCTAAATTACAATATTCAAATAGAAAACCGTGTTTGTAAATGTTCCTGTTTTTACTTTATTTGCTGAGCAGAAGAAACGAAATTAAATCAAAAATAAACTTTCATAACTCTTATGTTCTAAAACTACACTGTGGCTGCACCGTTTGATCACTGATTTTAATTGCATAATACTCTAATATATATACCATTGTTTTTCATGGTATCACGCTCTGACACACGGTTTGATATTGTCCAGAACATAGAGATTTGAACAGGAGTTATTTGAGTATTATTGTTTTTATGATCATTTTCAATAATATTTAGGGTTATTATCATGAACTACAGCTATCGAAAACATTTGTGTTAGTTGAAAAAAAGCTGGAATAAAAATAAAATAAATATTATTTTATAATATAATGTAATATAATAATTTATAATCAAAAATAAAAAAATATTAGTCAGTAGAAATTTGTAGAAATGTTGTCTTGGCAATAAACTCGAGTTGTAGAGCTAAAATCATTACCTAGAAAGAAATTAAATTGAAAAGTGAAATAAAAATAAATTAAGTGGCAATATTTAAAAATAAAAAACAAATAAAATGACAAAATACACATAAACTAAAAATATAAAAAATATTATAATCAAAATATTAATATAAAACTAAAAATAACCCAGATTAGATTTATATTTTCATATTATTATGTTAGTTTTAGTCATTTTATTGTGTGCTTTTGTCATTTTTCTTAGTTTTTTAATATATCTAAATAGTTTTTATTAATCTTTTAATTTTTATTTCAGTTTTATTACATCAGGTCAAGCTAAAATGAATGAGAAATGTTGAAAAAGCTGAAATTCTCCTCCAGAACACGTACAGGTCCTCGATCTCTGTCCCATCGTGAGCACTCGTGTACAGAGAGAGACCGGGGGAAGATAAGAGACTACTGAAGACGCCTGATTACCCAGCATGCATCTCTCTCAGTCTAATCCTTAGAGATGGGGATTTTGTGTATAATTGTGGTGGTTTTTTTTTCTTGCAGGCTCCGGATAAACACGGCATCACCCCGCTGCTGTCCGCCACTTACGAGGGTCACGTGACCTGCGTCAAGATTCTTCTAGAAAAGGTACTGATCGTCCCAGCATGATATAATATGCAACAATAATGATGCATATCTTTATGTCATTGTTTGTTTGCTTTTTTACCCACTGGAAATTCAACAAAAAAATCATTAGAAAACAGCTTCACATTATAAGACACTTCAGAGTTCAAAACAAAGTGAATTATTAATAATAAATGATTAAAATGATTAAAATAATTTGATATTTACAGTACGGTTCAATGAGTTACCATTGGTTGATGGTGCATTAACTAACACTAAGCAGTTCATTTGTTACATTATTTATTCATCATTGTTAACATGATTTAATAAAAACACAACTGTTCAAAGTTCAGCTCAGGTCTATAAATAATATTAACAGAAACAACTTTTGATTTTAATAATGTGTTAATAAATGTTATAATTAACATCAACTAAGATTAATAAATGCTTTAGAAGTATTTTTATTGTTAGTTCATGCTAAATAATGGAACCTTATTGGAAAGTGTTACCATATATTTATTCAAATTATATAGTCATTTTTATATTAAAAAAATAGAGCTTAATATAAATGTTTCACATATAATGTAATATATAAAAAGGTATGTTTAAACCCAAGTCTAATTGGATGAGACATTTAATATAAACACATCAGTTGATATTCATTTTAATGCAACAATTGTTTTAATGTTGAAGCAAACTAAATTCCACTGCATATATACACAATGTTGGTTATATAGCAATAATGGTGTTACACATACATTAATGCGATATATCACGATAATGAATATGCACGGTATTGTTATCGTGTGCACTTAAAAATACTCTGAATTATGAATTATGGAGCAGCAGGAATGCAGACGTAACCCGTAAACAAAGAAAGCGGATGCCAGGGTTCCCACGGGTGCTTTAAATCTTTGAAAACCTTTTTTTTGTTCATGCATAGAAACTTAGATTTATGCATATATATTTTTTCATGCATAGATTTATGCATTTAGATACTTGAAAGTGCCTGAATTTATTTTGTGCAAGAATTTTCTGGAAAAAAGTCAATATTATTCCCTCCGGTCCGCTAATGTCTTATTTTCAGCAATGCACACTAGCTTGCGCATTTCTGCGTTACTTCAAGTGTTTCCTGTGTGAGGTAGGCTACTTTGTGTTGTACGTTGCCATGACGTTCATGCGTGCACTAAACTACTACGGTGATGTCTTTGTTGTTGGACACGTCAAATGTGTTCCCACATTAAGTCCTTGAATGTGAGGGTATTGGACCTGGAAAGTCACTGAGCTGCGCTAATCTCTGTTTCTGTTTCAAACAGCCAATCAGATTATGTATTCGCAATAGTGTTGACTGAAAAATAATGTTCTCATTCTTTATTATTGTTCGGTAATGCTTCACGATAAGGCTCTATTAGTTAGTTACGTAATTATAACAATTACTACAGTAGTTATACACAGGTGAAACTCCAAAAATTAGAATATCGTGCAAAAGTAATTCAACTTAAAAAGTGATTATAAAGACTCATTACATGCAAAGTGAGATATTTCAAGCCTTTATTTGTTATAATTTTGATTATGGCTTACAGATATGAAAACCTTTTCACAATATTCTAATTTTGAATTTGGGGTTTTCATAAACTGTAAACACAATTATAACAAATAAAGGCTTGAAATATCTCACTTTGCATGTGATGAGTCTATATAATATATTAGTTTCACCTTTTAGGTTGAATTACTGAACTTTAGCATGATAATCTGATTTTTCGAGTTTCACCATGAGATTATAATCTCATTTACTAGAAATTAAAAAATAGACACACATCAGTTGTAATCTATATTATTGTGGCAAGTTTCTCCGCATCTTCACACAAGTAAACCAGACGTCCTTGACGCGCCGGCACTCTTCACCATATCCACTGGTGTAAATGTCCACGCTGATGTGTCTCGCGCAGTATAACTGCTCATTATCTCTGCTGGCTGGCACATTTCTACTGCTGTGGCAGCGTCCAGCTCTGGTGAGAGAAAGAGCTTTTGTTTGTGGATTTAAAGCTGAAAGCGTCTGAACGGAGGCTGTAAACAGTGGCATTCGCAGGGTCACACGGGGTCATAATGCAGTTATGTCAGGCTGCACAGCACTGCACATTCTTCAGTAAGAGATCCCATCTGAGATTACACAACACACGTGTGCGCTGATGTCCCACCGGGGCCCGTAGCGCTGACCCGAGGGCCCTCATCTCCTCTGTGTGTTTCCGATGCTTCTGCAGGAGCTGATCAGGCATTTTTGGCTGTTGCTCGGGAATATTTCAGGCTTGAATCCCCATTGGATCACTCGAGGAGTGCAGTTGTTCTGAAACAAGAAGTTGGGCTCTAACTTTGTTTAAAGGGGAGCTATTCTGCCAGTTTTAAATGACTTTATTCAGGCTCTTCTAGAACATGAATGTTGATTATTCTCCATTGTTGCGGCTCCTCTCTTCCCAGTCTGTCGGTAACGCTCTGTTTACTTCCTGTCTCTGTGAAGCCCCTCCTTCTGAAAGCACACTGTGCTCTGATTGGTCGAGCGCCTCGAGTGTGTTTGGGAAATGTCCCGCCCCTTTCCATAACCGCCAGTTTAACACACTACTAACTAGCTCAACCAGGCCCCGCCCCTTTATTCTGCGCATTAATTATTATAATGAGGAATATTGTGACGTGTTCGTTTCCAGAAGAAACTCAAGACTACAATGGAGGCGTTTCAGAAACAGTGCTTATAATTAATTATTATCTGCATTAATTACTAATGGTTCCAAAAAGCAGCTCTCGGTTTTATAGTTTTCCAATCATTTCTCTTTAACTTTAAAAATCCCTCTTTTCTCTCTCCGTTTCTTGTACATTATTTATATATTTCATATCACAATAAAACATTTATTAAAACATTAGAAGCTTGGCTATTGGGTAACACTTTACCATAAGGTTATTTCTGCATGAAAACGACTTATTCTTAATGTTGCATCATCAACTTAACAAACAGGACCTTTCTGTTTTTAAATTGATCTTAATATACAATATTGTCATTGTTAAATCATTATTGTTGACTCTCAAATTCAAAAGTCCATTGATTTTGTTCGTATTATACATCTGTTATCTGTAATTTTCTTTATCGTTACTGATTGTGGAAGTAAAACTGACTTCTCCCCTCAAAGCATTGTGGGTGTTTGTTTCACAGCACAGAATGATGCAATTTACACCCAGACAACAGTGTGAATGTGAAGAACGCCTCAGTGGCTCTTCAACAAACACACACTTTCCCTGAATAAATCTTTATTTGTGTTTGTATCTCGATCCAACACTATATATTTGAAGATGATTGTGGATTAAATGTGTTTGTGAATGATGGATTTGGAAATGTGAGATCCATATAAATGTGTTCTGGATCAGTCTCATATTTCTACTAGAGCCCGACCGATAAAGGATTTTAAAGGCCGATACCGATACAAATATTTGTTGGTTTTAAAATCCGATATTCCGATATATCGGCCGGTATTAAAAAAAATTGTTTTCAGAAACGCGCAACAAAACATTAACAGATTTCCATATTATTAGTAATTTGTAGTTATTAATAATAATATGATAATGCATTTAAAAAGAAACTTGTTTCTTCTATGGTCACAACAGAACAGACAGATGATAGCGGCATTAGCTAGCTTTGTGGTCAGATAGTCTATGATGAGCCATAATTTAGCAATGGATAACGTCATACTGCAAATTGTAAAACATTACATTTTTAATATAACAGGCCAAGGAGAGATGATACTTCTCACTGCTATAACTGTCACACGCTATTAAAGAAGTACTTCAGTCACGTTGTCAAAAGTTGTCAAAACTATTTTGAAATATTCATTTATCAGCCATTATATCTGCCGATACCGATAGTTTGGAAAATGCCTAATATCGGCCTGGCTCTAATTTCTACTTGTGGTATTTCCTACTAAAGCAAGGTTGTGTTTGACTCTGGTGGGCGTGGCCTTAGACTGTGACGTGCCCAGTGCATTGTGGGTGTTGAAGTTTTCCTATGTATTAGGCAAAAGTGCGTTCTCTCTAGTCAGGTATCACCGATTTTAAAACATTTTGTCAGCCATGTTTTATTGAAAGCTTGTTTTACCAGGAGTGATTTACCTCTTTAAGTTTCTATTTTAAATTTGAATAACTCAAATATGGTAAGTTAGCATGGCGTTTTGTCTTGCTATCTCTGTGTTGCCCTCCATCACGCATCCACACTCACGGTCATAAATACGGCAGACGAGACCAAACGCCACATGATGGCTGACACACATGAATGAGAGATCGAAGTGCACTTCCTCTTTTTTCTGTCGTCAAATGCTCTGAATGGGAAGTTAAACTTCCATAATTACCAGTAAACTTCAGATATTTACATTTTAAGCGTTATTTTAAACACCTTTGATCTTGCCATCAGGATCACTATATAATTTTAATTATTTAAGGGCCAATATTCTAAATAGAGTTACATGTTTAGTAATTTCATTAGTAATATTCCTATTTAGGTTTAATTTATTTTTATTCCAATTTAATTGGCTTTTTTTAGGATCTATTTTTTTTGGTCATTTTAGTTTCATATTTAGTAATTCTTTAATTTTTGTGTTATTTTTCATTTTATTGTTTTTTTTTTTTTTATATATATAGCTATTTAGGTTTAATATATTTTTATTTCAGTTTTGTTTTTTATTTATTTCCAGGTTTTTGCCAAGGAATAATTTCCACTTCTCGTTTAGTTTAAGTTTTTCAAGTAATTATTTGTGCTTTAAACTATTAAAAACATGACAGTGTGTGAGTGTGATTGAGAGTGTGTCTGTGTGTGTGTGTGTTTGATATTTGAGTTTGAGTGTGTTTGTCAGTGAGTCTCAGTGAGACTGTGAGTCTGTGTGTGTGTGTGAGAGTGTGTGTGTGGGAGAGTGTGTTTGTCAGTGAGTGTGTGTGTGTGACGCCCACTGCGTCTTTTGGATGAAGTGAATAAATCAATCAATCAGTCTTCAGATGTTTGTTGATCCTCAGGCTCTCAGGTGTGTGTGTGTGTGTGTGTGTGTGTGTGTGTGTGTTTCGGCACATTTGTGTTCTGAACTTCAGTGCGGTGTGTGTCGAGCTCAGAGTAAACCGGAGACTTTCGCAAACTCGACCTGTGTGTGTGAAGAGGAATGATTCTGTGGGCACACACACACTGAGGATCAATAAAGCGCATGGACAGGCACGGAGGATGACATTAGTGTAAAGCCCCGAGGGTCCGGCTCACGTTAGATTATGCATGAGGTTCTGTTACTCAGTAACGGCATGATCCGCTCTTAAGTTAATCATTTTGTGATGTGCTTTTGCCATTTTATTAGATTTGCTGTTTATTTATTCATTTATTAGTCCTCCAACTATTATTTTAGTTTTTCTAGGTTTCATTTCGGTTTTTCGACTAATATTAATATTGTATTTTATGTCAGCTTTATTTCAATGAATAGAAATGTTTTTAACAGTTTGTTTTTGATAAAAACCCTGGTATAAGTGCGTCTCAGTCTCATTATTTCTTTCCTTTCCTGCTGCCGGTCTTTTGTGTTTAATCGTGTGTGTGTGTGTGTGTTCCTCCCTCCAGGGTGCTGATAAGGAACGTAAAGGTCCGGATGGTCTCAGCGCGTTCGAGGCGGCCGAAAGCGAGGCCATTAAAGCTCTACTGAAGTGAGACGAACGCTACCGGCAGCGAGAGGTTCTGACCACAACCACTGGATCCACACACACACACACACCTCTCTGTCTCTGCCCGCCGGCTGCATCAGCTCCTCTAGGTTTCCTTTTTGTTTTGTTTTTCTTCATGACCTATTTTATGTTATTTTAGGGGAGGTGCTTGAATGCCCCTTTAGTTTATCGGCGTCAGCCATTGGCTGATGGACCTGTCACTCAAACCTACGGACCAATGGGAACGCCTGTCTAACACCACTAAACACGGACCTTAGAGTTCAGACTACAGCGCAGACTCTGCGAGTGTATGATGATGATGATGATGTGTACATTTATTTTTCAGACTGTTGCGATTGCTGTTAGAAGCGAGTGGGTTGTATAGTTAACTCTGAAAATGTTGGAAAAATACTAGCGGATGAATTTCCCTGCACTCCATTCCCACGTTTCCCTCCTTCAGCTTAACGTCATTCCCACGGCCGTCGCGTTAGCGGTTCAAAGAACAAATAACACACTTCAGACGCTTGAATCGTTCTGCTGACCTGCACACTTTTTGCTTTGTGCCCTTTTGAATTTGTGTTGTTGTGGCAAAAATAAATGAATTCTCAGCTTCTGTGTGCTTGTAGAGTTAAACAGGTTTGATCAGATGAGGGACGCCCGTCTCTCTCTCTCTCTCTCTGCATGATGGTGTTTTTAGCTTTTCAAGACAGTCTTAAACAAAAATTTACATCGATTAGCAAATGAACATTTTGAAGATCCATATCTGGCATTGTTGTGAAAAAGTCCGTTTGAAAACAAAACAAAAAAAAACAAATAAAACTATTTGAAATGATTATTTTGATTTTTGTCACGTTTGTAAAGTATCGACTGATGGAGAGTGTGTGTGTATATCGGGCATTTTCTCCAGTGATCCGATGGGAATGTTATCCATTAAATAGCGTATAAATCCCAAAGTAACACTGTCCGACAGCAGTGGGTAATGCTTAAAACACTAACCTGATGAGATTTATACTTGGTTTTAATAAATATAAACTTAAAACTGTTAATGTAAAAATACAAAATAGAATTATTAGGTTTTTTTTTTATTAGGTATTTTTTTAATGTAAAGTAAACGTGACAACATGAAGTGTGACTTTACATTTAACTTGATAATGATAATAATTCTACAGCATCTTATCTTAGTTTGTTGAGTTCACTACATTTTAGTCTTGTCTGTGTTAATATTATTGAATGCTCTGTAAACAAATTATTAACAAATATATTTTAACTAATGATAACAAAGATTGACGAATGCTTTAGGCCTAGTATTCACGTGACGTATATTGTTAGTTCATGTTAGCTAATAACTAATGCACTATTAACCTTAAAAACAATGGAAGTGTATGAGAGGACTTCACTTATATAGTGAAGCGAGAGTGTGTGTGTGTGTCACAGTGTTTTTCCGCTTTAATTAAGTGCTTTTGTTAATTGCCGATCCACGGGCGAGTCTCAGACCTTTGTCTCTGTCACAACACAAAGAAATCCATTATTCAGGTGCGGCACAACTGACTGATAAAGTGTAATGGCCCGTCAGCCGTGAATATAAAACAGCTCGTCTTCGTCAAAGCGCTGACGAACTCTCAAACACAACAGCAGATCTGAACAACCGTGTTTAACTTTAATGTCTTAATAACACATGTTCCTGATCGTGAGCGACAAAATCCTGTGTTATGTGTGTGTGTGTGTGTGTTGTGTGGGCTGTTTGTTCATGTTAACCTGTGGTTTAGTCTTTGTTTTAATTCCCTGTCGAATATTTCTCTTGATAACTCCTCATATGTTGGCAGTTCGGTGTGTTACAGATTATGCCGTGCTGTTGATATCATCAATTCAATTTTCAATTGTTAAAATTATAATTCTTGATATCAAAAATGGCATCATCAATCACAGAAATATGAAGTGTTTATTTTAAAAATATACCCAATACACATTTAAACTTGTTTTTATTATTCAGTTTAAGTAAAAATATATGGTGTTTTATAAATAAATATAAGAAAAAATAAATATTTGTGTTATTGAAAATAAAATCGGAATCGGCCTAGAAGATTGTAATCGGTGCATCTCTGATTATAGTCCTTCTTTTTTCCATCAAACCTGAATAGTGACACAGAGATGCGCTCTGAGTGTGTGTGTGTGTGTGTGTGTGTGTGTGTGTGTGTTGACAGGTGTCCGCCTGAACTCCTCTGTCCTCCTACACTGATGTTATGTAAGCGTCTCGCTTCTTGCGGGCGACCTCTCGGGCTGCAGACATCCTGAGTCTTCTGTCTGTGAGTCTCACACACACACACACACACACTGATGCTTGAGTTGCAGCGCCACCTGATGGCTGACTCTCCTCCTGCGCTCATTATGTGTGTGTGTTACAGTGTCCCCGTGATCAACAGATCTGAGCTGTGCTTAATGACTGACGGATCCTAATGACCCTGATCAGGGTTATCTGTGTGTGTGTGTGTGTGTGTGTGTGTGTGTTCACAGTTGAGCCGTCCATCCTCAGTCTGCACCGCTAATGATGGGAATGACCACCACCCTGCTCATCCTGTGTGTGTGTGTGTGTGGGTGTGTGAGCGAGCGTCTTGAATGTGTGGTAAAGTGTGAGTTTGTGTGGGAAGTTGAGTTTGTGAGTGAGTGTGTGTGTGTGTGTGTGTGTGTGTGTGTCCCCATAACACGCGTGAGGTGTGTGTTAATGTATGTAGTTTGAGTTTCCCTGGTGCACACACACACACACACACTGGAGGAGCGTGCGGCGCCGGCGCTGGGATCGATGTCCACTGCTCTGCTATTAGACGAGTTTAACTGCAAATAAAAGAGGATTTATCACTGCTGACCGTATGTAGACCAGCACTGCTGCATTCTGGGTAATGAGCTGAGGGGGCGGTGCTCTCCGCTTCACACAGATCATCTAACTCTCAAACACACACACACACACACACAGATGCCCAGCCGGGAGCAGAGGGACTTCTTTAGTCTCTCTCTTCTTCATAACAGTAATATATAATATAATAACTCTATAAACCTGCTGAATTATATGTGACGCAGGAGTCCTCGAGGCCTCGAAATGATCAACATGATCTGATAAACCATTTAGTCCTCTTTAGACTAACTATGAGTAACTTCATGTCCACTAGCGGTCATCAGAGTACCAGTAGAGCGTCTGCTTAATATCTGTTTAATGCTCTATATATATGGTCAAAAGGGAACTACAAGTCCACTCACTCTACGAGCCCGATCCTGACGCTCTGATGACCGCTAGTGGACGTGAAGATGCAAACGGACTCAGAGTTAGTAGAGTTATCTAAAGTGGACTATCACAATAAAGTGGGTTTTACTCGTGTAAACGTAAGAATAACTGATATTATTAGGAATATTTCAAGATGCACACACTTTTAGAGCTGCGAGTGTCTTGAGTGTGTGAGAGAGAGTGTGTGTGTGTGTGTGTGAGTGTCTTGAGTGTGTGTCTGTGTGAGTGTCTTGAGTGTGTGTGTATGTCTGTTTGTGTGAGTGTCTTGTGTGTGTGTGTGTGTGGCTGAGTGTGTGTCTGTGTGAGTGTCTTGAGTGTGTGTGTATGTCTGTTTGTGTGAGTGTCTGTGTGTGTGTGTGTGTGTGTGCCCTGAGTGTTGTACTGGTGTGTGTTGGCTGTACTCAGTGAAGAGTTTGGCCGCGGTGGAGGAAGTGAGCGTTTCTAGCCTTTATTCTGTTCCCAGATCAGTTCTGCTCGTCTGAGATAGAAATCACAATCATCTGCTGTCAGAGCGCTGCATGTTCAGGGACACACACACACACACACACGAATGCCATATGTTGAGACGCTCAGGCCTTTACTTCACTCGTATCAGACCGGCTCCATGCGGCACAGCAAGTGAGAGGGACATTAGACAACATTTACATTTCCATTTATTCATTTAGCTGACGCTTTTATCCAAAGCGAACTACAATTGCTATAAATGTCAAGGGGTTCAGTGTGTTGCTCAGGGACACAGTGGATTCGAACCCGGGTCTCTCACACTAAAGGCATGTGTCTTATACACTGCGCCACCACCACCCCTTGTGTATTGAACACCACCAGTTTGATTTATATGATTTATTTTCAATGGAAGCTTGTTAAATCCACAGATTAAACAAATATAAATGGTAATCGCAGCGCATTTTATCACACAAATCTGACTTCTGAGTTTAAATCTTGACTTCTCACGATTCAGATTTTATCTGTAGACTCACAACTCAGAAACTTGAAAATAAACTTTCTACAAAATTGTGAGGAAAAAAATAGTCAGAATTGTGAGATAAAAATCAACCTTTTTATTTCTTTCTTTTATTTCGTGGAGGAAACACATTCCCATACTTTTCTCCAGCTGTTTCTCCATCAGGTCTTTCCTTCTGCAGTGTGTGTGTGTGTGTCTGAAGTCCGAGTGCTGAGAAGTGAAGTTGGTAAGCGGAGAGCCGTAAGCACACACAGGGAATGATAAATGAACAGATGTCCAGTGCAGGAGTGAATATTACCCTCCGAACGCTCGCTGAGAATTGATCATGTTCTGTGTGTGTGTGTGTGTGTGTGTGTGTGTGTGTGTGGCCGAGGTGGAGCGCATATAAAGGTGCCTCTGTGTGTGATATCGATCCTCCCCGCGGAGACACACTTTATTTGCTCAGATGTGTTTATTGTGAGCTGTAACGGCGTCTTGTTTGTCGCTGTGATGAGGAGACGCCGCTGAGTACTTCATCATTTCCCAATTCACTTTGTTTTGTTTTGTTTGTTTTCCTCCAGGTCGTGTCCGGCTCCGGCTACAGGAACACACACACACACCGGGAAGCTGACACAGGTCTGATGATGGGCTCTGTCTGTCCCAAACGCATGTGAGCTGATTCTAATTTAGTTCAAACGTAAAGGTGCTTAAATACTTGACTTTGTGACATTAAAGTCCTGGAAAACCCTTGAAAACAGACATTTTTATGAAGAAGTACTAGTAAGACAATATAAAGAAATGAATGCTGGGCAACGATTAATCGCATCCAAAAGAAAAGCTTGATATATATGCAAATATTTCTTAAGTGTATCCATGCATATTGTGTGTATTATTTATATCATAAATATTCAGAGCCGGTGTCTCGTGAGCTGTGTGTTTCTGGGAAGTTGATTAGTGAGGACTGAAGGAATAACAGGTTATCATCATCATCTGCATATGAACACACTGTAAAACTCCCGCCTGATTAAAATCCCTTTGATCCCGGGCAAACGCTCCATAAACACGGGCCGAAAGAGAGCAAACTCGCGGCTCTCGCTATGCTAATGTTCTTCTGACCTTCTAACGGGACTTTCCTTCAGGCCCGATCCGCCACTAACTCCATGCTGGATGATGAAGACGCGTTCATGCTTCACATGATTCCTCGAAGCCTGGAGGAAACATAGGCTAGGGCTAGATATTAAATATCCAGGATACGTGTACAATAAAATACATATTCTTACAGATGAGTGCATTTAATATGCACTTTTCCCACTTATAATGTGTTAGTCGAGATTTTTTTCTCCTGCTTTCAGATTCGAACCGGTTCGTGCGGCGATGTCACTTTTAGAATGTTTGAGCGAGTTGCTAGGTTACCACCGGCTGTCAATCACGAGCTCCCGCGTTAAATATTCATGTCCGGTGTGGATCAGTGTGAAGACACCGAGGACAGTCAGGAGTCGTTTCTTTCGCTGCTTCTGCGGTTTATGTGTGTGTGTTCGAGCTCTTTGTCTGAAGTAGTAATGAAACACAGTTTACTGCTCCAGTGACTTTCTATTAGTCGTGCTGTTTGCAGCCTCTCCGCGAATAAAGCAGCCTCGTGTTGGATCAGATAAACCTAAAGCATCTGTTACTGGAAGAACATAATGTGTGTGTGTGACTCAAACTCTACAGACGTCACGACTTTACACACTCACAGCAGCTGTGGAGATACTAGTATGATTCTGGATGCGATAAATTGCATCCAAAATAAAAGTTTGTGTTTAAATAATAATAATAGTAATATTTTTTTAATAATTAAATTAAATAATAATTAAACTTTTATGCATAATGTATGCATAGGTAGTCTATATATTAGGGCAATGCAACGATTAATCAATTCAATTCAATTTAAGAAATATTTGCTTGTGTATATATATGATATATACATATATTTAAATATTAATAACACATTTTTACTAACTATATGCATGTGTTTGTATTAATATATACAAAATAATTATTTACAGCACACATTCATTATATAAACATAAACTTGTACTAATAAACTAATATATGCCATACCTGTGCATACATTGTGCAAATAAAAATTTCCAGAGGACACGGTGTGAGAGGCTGTATCCCACAATGCAATGCGTTCAGTCTTAAAAAAAAAATCTCCAAATCTATTCCAGGCGTAATGAGAGTTTGTTTAGTTGTAATGCACACAATTCTTAGTCCTAAAAATGTATTTAGTTTGTTCTTCTGATTTTGTGGGGAGAAACAGTCCAAACATTTTCAGACACCTTCAACATTTCTCACATTATCAGTTTATTCACTATATAGTCGCTGTATGAAGAATATGGGAATAATATGTCAGTTTACTTTATTTTGCTCTCCTCGCGCATATAAGTGGACTATATAGTGTCCTGCACACACTAGAAAAGAAATATCAGAAATGATATCTGGTGTCTGTATTATTTTTGGTTTGACTGAGGTTCTCTCTCCGCCTTCAGGTGTGTGTGTGTGTGTGTGGCTGATCTGAAACTGTGTGTTTTCTCAGGTCTATGAGTAGTTTCGACAGACCTGAGAGTCGCACACTTGATTAAACACAGCGAGAGTTTGAGCGATGGCCAATCACACACTGCGCTTCTGTAGAGACACATATAATCAGCATTCGGCGTGTGTTTGCTTGAATGTTTCAGGGAATATGATGATGTTTCATCAGCAGTGCTCAATTGAGTCTTAACCACGACGTCCCGTCTCCATCCCGCGCGTTCTGTCTGTTCCTCTCCGAGTTTAATTGCCTTTCAGAGCAACTGCAATTATCCTGTCAGACGCTCACAGTCTCGCGCTCTCTCCCTCTCTCTCTCTCTCTCTCTCTCTCTCTCTCTCTCTCTCTCTCTCTCTCTCTCTCTCTCTCTCTCTCTCTCTCGCTCTCTCTCTCTCTCTCTCTCGCTCTCTCTCTCTCTCTCTCTCTCTCTCTCTCTCTCCCTATTCAATTCAATGTAAAATGTGCTTTATTGGCGTGACAGATATGTATTTCCAAAGCTTTTCTAATTTTACAGTGAATCATCATGTATGTTAAAAGTAAGTGGAACAAATAATCAACATTTTAGAAACAATTTTGTGTGTGTGTGAGAGTGAGTGTTTGAGTATGTGTGTGTGTGTAGTCAGAGGTCAGAGGCTCTTCTTCTTCTCTCAGTGACTCGAGGGTGATTTCGCGTATGCAGGGCTGGTGTCTCAGATGTTGTTCTTTCATTGGGTTTAAACGCAGATAAACCGGTGCTTTTATACGCGAGATCACGGTGCAGCAATTACAGCCATACAGAAACACAAAGCAGCACATTTACATATCTGAGGATTACAGCGGCAATTACTTCGAGAGGCTCACAAGAGCACACACCTGGACCCAACAACACCTGAAAGTGGAGACCAGAGTGTGTTCAAACTCACAGAGGACAGTCCCGCCACACACAGGGACAAACACACTCCTGTAGCGCCACCAACAGGTGAAACACACACGACAGCTGACTGAAACACACTCCTGTAGCGCCACCAACAGGTGAAACACACACGACAGCTGACTGAAACACACTCCTGTAGCGCCACCAACAGGTGAAACACACACACGACAGCTGACAGAAACACACTCCTGTAGCGCCACCAACAGGTGAAACACACACACGACAGCTGACAGAAACACACTCCTGTAGCGCCACCAACAGGTGAAACACACACACGACAGCTGACAGAAACACACTCCTGTAGCGCCACCAACAGGTGAAACACACACACGACAGCTGACAGAAACACACTCCTGTAGCGCCACCAACAGGTGAAACACACACACGAGAGGAAAGGGGAACGTTTGATTAAAAACTCGAAAACACTTTATTCTACAGTGTCATTGTTACACACGTCACATGTACTTACCATAGTAATAACTGTAATATATGCATAATTACATGCAACTAAGTACTTAAATATATAATCACACTAATAATGAATGAGCCCTTCATGTGTTTGTGACGGCTTAGGTTTACCGAGAACTCAAACTTTTCTCATCAGATGATCTCAGCAAACTAACCTACAGTTCTGCTGTTACTGCATGACAACTATTTGTTTCATAATTGATGGACTTTGACAGTTATTGAACTGAACTGAATCAACATTGATCTGAAATGGATGAATAATGACAGGTTTTTAGCGTGTGGAAGTGTTGATGTCTGAGGCTCGTGTGTGTGTGCTCTGAACTCCACATTCTCCTGCAGGGCGACAGCGCCAGTGAAAACAGCGTTTTCTGGAAACACAGCGTGTCTGAATTCCTGAGACTGACCGATTTCTTAAAAACATCCCAGATCTCATCTAGACGAGTCCTCAGAAATGAACTAAACATGAACGGAGGAGTCTTAGAGTTACTCTTTATTTTAAGGTGTCATTATTACAGTGTAAGTACTGAGAAATAATAATTAACAACATGTGCTTACTATGGGGTTAGTTACATGTAATTATGCATAATTCACTGTTATTACATGTAACAGTCAAACCAAAAATGATTCAGACACCAGATATTATGTTTGATATTTCTTTTCTAGTGTGTTTAGGACACTATAGTTCACTTCTGTGAGTGAGGAGAGCAAAATAAAGTAAACTGACATATTACAGCCAGATATTCTTCATACAGCGACTACCAGTCAAAAATATGGCACCAAATATTCTTCCTCCACTTTGAGCTGATGATGTTTTCTGTAATCGCTAATGCTCCTTTTACACACACACTGAACAACATGAAGCATTGCTTGGTCACTGGTTGAGCTAAACTGCTATTATCTAATTGTGGAGTTCAATTTAACAGCTGACCAGTCACAAAACCAGTGAGTTATTATCATATTTCATTACTATAGCGAATATAATGTGAGAAATGTTGGGGGAAAAAAAGACATTTTGTTTAGACTGTAACAAGGACACTGTAAATAAAGTGTTAGTTCTAGTTAATGATAATAAGGCTGATGAACTTGAGAAAGAAGGATGACCGATTACACACACCGATTGACCGATTACACACACCGATTGTCTTGAGTTTAATGACTTCCAGATGAAACACACATTCCAGCCTGTCAAAGAAGGAGGAGAAACAGGGACTACGGTCTCTCTCTCTCTGTGATCTTCTGTTTATTTCCAGGTCGTGGTGTCGGTCCGGACGGGAGGAACAGAATGACGGTCCTGCAGCTTCTGCTGATGTGTCAGATGTCCATCACAGCGTCCCTGCACTGGAGGAAAGGTAAGGATCTCTCACACACACTGTTCACATGAGCACACTGTAAAAAATGCTGAGTTGTTTCAACCCAAATTTGGGTCAAATATAGACAAACTCAAATGCTGGGTTAAACATGTAATTAAAAAATTTACAGCTGAAAGTGAAAGTTGAAGTTGGGTTAAAATGTTAAATGACATGTTTAACACAACATTTGGGTTTGTCCATATTTGACCCAAATTTGGGTTAAAACAACCCAGCATTGTTTAGAGTGTACGGATTGCTCTTAAAAGCTTCTGCTTGCTGCAATTTAATTAGTGGACACATATATATATATATATATATGTTTAAGCATATTAAGCATAAACTATTGAGCATAAAAGTTGAGAAGCATCTGAGATGAATAAATAAATAAATGACAAGTTTCCTGAGCTGTGGATGAGGTTGTTTGAACCCAAATTTGGGTCAAATATGGACAAACCCAAATGTTGGGTTAAACATGCAATTTCAAATTTTAACCCAACTTCAACTTTCACTTTCAAATGTAATTTTTGAAATTGCATTTAATTACCCAACATTTGGGTTTGTGCATATTTGACCCAAATTTGGGCTTGAACAACACTTTCATTTTTTAGAAAGTGATCAACACGTTTTGCTTTCAGAATCCATATCGCATTAGAGCTGAATATGTGACTATTATTTTATACATGTTTCTACATTATATTTCTTATATATAAAATAAGCTCGTTTCTGCCACAAAATAAAACATTTTAGATAATTGCGACTTTTTATCTCACAAATATCTCGCAATTCTGACTTCATAACTGTGCGATAAAAAGACAGAATTGTGAGATAAAAAAGGCGTAATTACTGTTACATTTGAAGTTCTTTCAGTGTTTTAAGAGAATAATTCACACTGATATTGTTCAAAACCTGCATGTCTTTCCCTGAATAAGACTTCAGAGCTTCAGATGACTTGTGGACTGACAGTGAGTGATTATAATAGTTTTATGGTGCACCAAATAGTAGCTGTTTAAGTCGCACTTTAAAATGCTTTTGAAATATCAAACTCAGATGATGCTCAAGATCTAACTTCACTTTCTGAGCCGCATTTCAATTGCTTTTGTCTTAGCCTATATAGTTTTGCAATGCCACGTTTTCATATTTTTGTCACATGATCCTTAAAAAATCATTCCAATGATTATAATGAAAGTGTGTGTGTGTGTGTGTGTGTGTGTGTGTGTGTGTGTGTGCGTGCGTGCGTGCGTGCGTGCGTTCGTGCGTGCGTGCGTGTGCGTGCGTGCGCGCGCGCGCGTGTAGCATAACTTTGTTTATTCTTATAGAAGACATACTAACCACCTTGCCTTTCAGTTCTGAATATAACAAGCGTGATTGTTATAAAGACAGAGCGGTGTATATTTTTTGCGATGTGACATCATCACGCACGTGTGGTCTGCATCTCATCTCATCTCCATGGAAACGCAGCGGTCACGAGGAGAAGGCGCAGTCTCGCAACATACGGTGTTTATAATGTTTTAAAGGCAGTTTAAGATGAAGTGTGTGAAGGATGACCGACACACATCTGCAGTTGATCGGTCCAGAGAGCTGAGGAATGCCTGTGATGTCGGCGACATAGCGAGAGAATTAAAAAAAAAATGTTTGGTTTTTTTTTGCTCTAAGTTAGTTGAGTTTCTGTTTTCTCATCTAAAACACGTAACTTACTATTAAATGTATTAAAAATTTACTGAAGTATATTTTTAGTACATTACAAATATACTTTAATGCCTTTTTTAATATATTCAACCATACGTCTAACTTTTTGACCTGCAAGTTCGCTAATATGTTGAATTGAATGACACATCCTTCCTACTTTAAATATATCATGTTGCTGCATTATCCTATTATACGCGCCTCAGATCCCCTGTGTTTCCCGCAACAGAGCTTCACAGATGCCGTTCTTCAGCTGCAGGCCTGTAATGCAGATGTTTAACACAGCTGTAAAGATGTCAGTCATCCGCTCACGTGTTCACGGACAGCCAATCAGAGACGTGCAGCTGCTGAGCACGTGCTGCCAAAACATGTCAGTGCGCGCGCGCGTTACTGGATATCAAAACACGCTGGAAAAATCAATGTCATTTTAACATTTAAAGACTGTACAAATGTTGTTGTTGTTTTTTTACTAAAACCGAGTCCCTTTATATATGCGGTTAAAAACTGTAACAGACGCAATTTTATAGTAAAATACAACCAGAGAATGTCTAATAAAAGAGAATTTGCACTGTTAATAGTTCGTTCAACGTCACCTGGTCTTCAATAACGTTTTCAAAACGTTAGCAAAAAAAAAAAAAAACATTTATATGTAGCCTATCGTCCATGCAGCGTTTTTTTTCCTGAAACATTAACATTTTTAGCCTTCTTGGTCTAAAGTTTTTTTTTTCTTTATGTTGCTATAAGAATATTTAGAGAACATGTAACATTCAATTATAACGTTCCCATAACCTTCGCATAAATAAGAAAAAACTAGGAAAACATTCTCAGAAAGTATTTTTGTTTGCCTTGAAAGGAGACATTTTGATTATTTTTCATTGCAATAATGCATTGTTTTTACTTCTGTACATTGGGGTTTTACGTTGTTAAATAAATGTTTATTGCATTATTTTATTGTTATCATGATAGTTTTTGTGCGTATGACACTGTGTACTACTATATACCTTACCTTGGCTTGTGGAAGAGCTACATTACCCATGATTCTCTCTGTCTCTCAGCGCTGTACCCATCAGCCTTCCGAGTGAGGCGCGGGACGCCAGCTCTGCTCAACCCCTCGTTTCAGAAATCTGTGGAAGACGCCAGCCTTCTCTATGAGGTGCCGTGATATATACACATAAGCTATGTATATTTGTGAGAAAAATCACAAATCTATCCACTTCAAGGTTATTAATAGCACTTTCACAGTACATATTGTTTCAAAGCAGCTTTACAGGACCTGCTTGTTACAAAGTTTCTTTATGGAGAGATTTAAAGTCAATGTTAAACAGCATTCGCAACCCAGTGAAAGAGAATCTCAGCTAACATAAATATATTTTTTGTTTTAAAAAAAAATCTTGGTTTTATAAACGTTAACCTTCTGGTGCTCTTCGCGTGTCGGTCAAAAATGACCTACATTTTTTTATTTCAATTAAATGAATCTTCTATATTTTAGTTTGATAATGTTTTTTATTTAATATTTAGCATTTTTATGGCATTTTATGGAACTAAATTATATTTAAGCTGTATTTATAATCCATGTAATCACTTTTTGAGCATGAAAATGAAATGTCCAACTTAATCTGTGGTAAATCTTGCATGCGTTAAAGCACAGACTGAAGTTTGACCTCTTTTCAAAGACAACACTTGGCAGATTATTGCTGAAGTGAAAACAAGCTTAAAAGGGAGAACTTAAACAGAATTTTACGTTTATTGTTATGAAAATTTGTATATATTTTCAAAAAACCCAAGAAAATCAAAGCCATAAATCTAAACAAGTTGTGCTCCAAATTTGAGGTTGATCTCTTATGAGGTAAATGAGCGTTCAGTGAGTGTGTGTGTGTTCGGCTGCAGTACCGAACGCCTCCACTTGAGGAAACTCTTCTCACATTCATTTCCGATGCGCTCGTTGTGTTCACACAGCAAGTGCCAAAACCTGAGTTTACGGAGTTTTATACCACTCAGATGAAGAAAAAAATCAGATTATATAGGAATTTTACTTTTGAATACGTCCTGAAACAAGTAGAAACCGTTAGACGAATGAGATTTGTATGAACCACATCTCATCTCGACACTCTGCTATTTTCCCATACCAGTATGTGTAATCAAAAGGTTTCAAAATAGCTCTGCGATTATTCATTCATTCATTCATTTTATTTCTAACAAGAACTTTTTCGGAGCGTAAAGCTTGCTGAGCAATGAAACCGTCCTCCGTGTTGTTTATCCGCAGTGTTTAATGTGATTGGCTGAATGAAGGAAGCGATCAATAGCTCAGCTCTTATTATCTCTTCATACGCTTGAGTTTGTTCAGTTATTGAGTTGTGCTGAGCTCTGCAATCTCTCCTGCTGTCAGACGCACACACACTCACAGACGAGCAACATTTCCATTTAGATCCAATCCCCAAAACAAAAAGAATATTAATATTCCGGCGGCGTGTCTTCATGGCTGATATCTAAAGACTGATGATCGTCACACGCTCAAGACTGATTCAACAAGACATCAGACTGAACTCTCATCAGATAGCAGATATTCATCATCCATAACTGCTGTTTTATTGAGTCGCCTGCTGACTCACTGAATCAATGCCCATGCGAATCAAGAGTTCTTTGGGATCCGTGTGCTTCTTTTAAACTGATATTGTCCGTTTTACAGATCAGCTGACAATTCTTGTGTCTTCTTTAGAGCTGCAGTTTTAACTCAATCTTATAACTCATAATCGATGAATTTTGCAGCATTGCGTTATTGAACTGAACTGAATCAACATTCAAATGAGCTGAATAATGGCACTATGGTCTTATAGACAAACATTCTTCCAGTAACAATAATAAAACGTTGTAATGATGTTCTCAAAAATGTTATTAACATCATTTAGGCTATACATCATTCGTGGAAGGTTTTTTCTGAAAAGATTCAGTTGGATGTTCGTCTAATGTGTTATGTTACTCGTTTCAGGACATTCAAAAGTAACAGTTTTTGAAGAATGATAAAATGGAATGTTCAGAAATAATGTTTTCATCATTTAATGGCAAAACCTTAGAACATATTTAATAATAATAATATTAACATTGTATCATTCTTCAAACATTTTGTAATGTTGTTTTTTAATGTCTCTGAACGTCCTGAAACACGTACGCTTATGTCCGCCACAGAATAAAACATTTTAAAAGATAATTGCGATTTTTAATTGCGATTCTGACTTCTTTATTTCTCCCAAATGCAAGTTAAAAAGTCACAATTGCGAGTTTATTTCTAACAATTCTGACTTTATATGTGATTGTGAGAAAAAAGTTGCAATTACCTTTTTTATATTTTATTCTTTGGCGAAAACATGCTTCCATTGAAACAAGTAACATTTTAAAAACATGAATGAATCTAAAACATTTCAGAAAAACTTGAACTTCAAGAGTGAATGATGTGTAAATAACATTGTTAGCGTTTTTAAAACATGAATAAAGACCAGATAACGTTCCCTGTTCGCTGGGATTATACTTTCTCAAATGATCCCATAATAGATTTGTAAAATGATAAAATGGAAGGTTTCCTTAATATAAAAATATCCAAGTTCTTAAGAGAACATTCAAAAGTAAAGTGCTTTATAACTTAAAGGGAACGTAAGCAGAACATTAGACTGTATCTTTGTTATATTCTGTGAAACTGGTTATTTCTTCAGATGTGTTGTCGGTGTTGTTTCACAGGTGTTGTTGTCAGGCGCGTACATGGACGCCTCACGCGGGACGCTCCACGTATCCGATCGGGAACTGGCGTCCATGCGAAAGCTTGAGGTTCTGGAGGTCCTGTGTGAAGACGTGCTTCCCAGAAGCCTCTCTGAGATCCGGCGTCTCAGTGCGCAGCTGTCAGTGCGTCGTGGATCGCTGCGGATGGAGGACTTCGAGCGCACGGTCCTCACGATGGTGTTTACTGCACAACAACTACAACACACCCACCCCGGCCACCAGAGGGAGCTGTGGGCAAACGCACTCCTACAACTATATCAAGCCATTAAAGAAGACCTGTGGCCACAAACCACTGCCAATTAATGAGAGGACTGAACACGGAAGTGACTTAATCTGCAGTTCATCGACTGGCCACTAGAGACCGGCTACAAATAAGAGCCAATCCCATAGACCTCCATGTTAAAATGCCCAACTTTACAGCAGAAACAAATGTGTTTACAGCCTGGTGCAAAAAGTAGTTTTGGTCTATATGGTTAATTTTGTCCTTCTTGACGACTGTGAGGGGGTGAATTTTTTTTTTTTTATAACTCATTCGTTTAATTAATATTAAGCCTTAAAGTTGTGCATAATTAAGGGCGTGGCCACTTGAGTGACAGGTGGATTGCCGCTGATGTCACTGCTAGCCGTTTTTAGCGTCAAGTCTCCTCAGTTAATCCGCATCGCTGCCCATTTTCGTTTACTTTCTCCGCCCACTTTGGGCTTAAATGCTCTTCAGAAACCCACAGGTGACATCACAGACACTATGTCCATTTTTTTTACAGTCTATAGTCTCATATCACGAATCCACTGCTCTGCTTGTCAACCGGTGACCACAGAGATCGCAGATATCAGGGGAAAACAATGCGAAATGCAAATAATAAAATGCATGTAGTCATGTAGAGCTAGTCAAATTAGACAACAATCGCAATGCAATATATATTTATTTTACATAATATTTGCAAATAACTCTAAATATAATATTTGAACTTGCAGAATTATAATTTAGATAGCAACTTCTTAATTATAGTCCCAGAGAGCAACATAACGTGGGCTGGATCTGGGCCGACATTATGGGGTATTTTTCACTAATAACTTGGTTTTGACCCGATGTTAAAGAGGAATTACAGGAGTCTGGTGAATATGAAATCTTGTTTGCATAAGTTCACCTTCACGTTCTCTGCATGTGTGTTTTGTGGGTCCGGCTCACAGTCTGCAGGATGAGCTCTGCTGTCCTTGTGTGGCTTGTCGTTTTTCCTGAGATAATGAATATCCTGATATAATCATTATCGCGTCCTTGACCGTGTTTCCCTGTCATCTTCACCTGGAAGTGTCCCCAGCGGCACACCAGAACCTGCTGAGATGTGTGACTGTGTGATACTGTGAGAATCTGACTGATATTAAAGTTCAAACTTCACATATGACTGCGGTTCTCATTTCACAGTGTTTTATTAACACCTCAGGCCGTGTTTCAGCATCTCTGACAGCTGAGAAACAGCATTAAGACTGAATGAGAAGATGATCAACAAATGATCAAAACACAGTGGATCCAGATTCCAGACTCACAAAAACTTCCCTGTGTGTCTGTTATGCGCCTGTAGCGCCATCTATATGCTACAGATATAATTAAAGCTATAGAGAACTTTTGTGGCAGTATAATATAAGTATAGTATAAAAATATTTACATATAACTGTGTGTTGTTGAAGACTTTTTTTTGTAAGCCTAATGTTCACAATGTAATCACTGTTAAAAATGTTTCCGTTTTCACATGACATGTTTCTCAGATTTATAACACTTTATGTTTTAAAAATGATACTTATAAAAGTTTTTGAATAATGATTATACACAAAGATTATTATATTTTCTTTGCGGTAAATCATTTTGTTTTTCTGATCAGGCACGTTTTGGGACGCCACATTCAGGGGTCCTATTATTGGAAACTATCAGGCGGCGTCATTTACAGACTTAACTTATGAATATTAACACAAGCGCATGAGGTAAGACTGACATTTCATTGTAAATACTTCTATGTTTACGCCAGCGACAGAAATATGTTCATTCCTATAATTTCTGTCTGTTTTGCTGCTTAAACATGTTATATTTGACAAACGAGCGGCCTCACTACAGCTAACGGCTAATGCTAATTCATAAACACGCAGCCACACATCAAATCGCTTCATTAAAATAATTCAATTTCTGTTTTAAATGAACTGCATATAAAAATGCGACATTATATTGGGATGACAGTGACAGACATTATTCATCTGGGTTATTTAGTCTTTTTTATTTTTTTTTTAATTACAGCTGTTGCTGTTTGTGCGTTTGTTTATTCAGTAGTTTTATTGTTGCCTTTGTTATTGAGAGACTTTATTAGGTAATATAACGACACAGTCAGTGGTTGAACTTCTGGTGTGCGTGTGAATTTGTTATTTGAGTATGTCAGTGAGTGTTTTTGTGTGTTTCCGGTTGTTGGGCCGACGGGATCGGTTCTGCTGAACAGGCACTTGCACATCTGAACAACTAACAGTATAATCTTTATTCCTGCATTTAGATCTGAGATGTTCAGTTCTGCTTCTGGAAATCCGCCTCCCTGTAGAGTTTATTATTAATGAATCACTACTCACCTGTACCAGCTGATCACCTGATCATGATTGGCAGGTGTGTGTGAGGAGGACCTGACCTGTCCTACGTCATGTTTCTGTTTTATAAGCACAGTTTCTGTGTATGAAATCCCAGAATAACTACTGCGTTGGACAACATGTGCAGTTTGCAGCCAAAACAGACTGGTGGGAAAACATTTCCCATGACGCAGTAGTAACCATACAGATTATCCAGATTGTGCCTTATATAATATTTTTCTATTCACAATTTGTCAAAAAAAGGAAAAATATTTTTTAAAAACAGTATGCAATATGCCAAAATTGATTAAATGAATAACATTTTATTACTAGTGCAAAATCATATAAAAAGTAAAATAAAAGTCATATATGGCTTATTTAATTTCAGTGCAAAATTGCAATTTATGTGCAATTAAAAAATCCTCAAATACACACATTTTTGTCATTTGCAAAATTTGATTGTGTGCAAATGCAAAATATTATTAAAAAAATTATGCCGAATGCAAAATTTTATTATGTGCAAAAAAAATGTAAAATGTGCAAAATATATATTTTTATTTAAACTGTACCATATACAGTATATATATGAATGCCAAATATTTTCTAAGTGCAAAATGTTTTTAAACGGTATGCAATATGCAGTGCAGTATTCTAGTGCTCCTTTCCAAACACAGCTCTTGACTTTTTACTCGTGCAGTTATTATTAGGTATAGTTTATTTTGAAGTATTGTTATGTTTTGCAGGTGCAGCATGCCTGCTGAGCGTAAGAAGTCCGTCAACATGGAGGAGAGAGAGACAGGCTCCTTCAGCAACAAGGACAGAGACGCCACCGCGTCCCGTGAGAAGAGCAAAGACGAGAGCAAGATGAGCGGAAAGAAGGACGGAGGCAAGACGGCAGAAGACAAGAAGAGACGGGCCGAGGAGGAGAAGAGAAAGAAGGAGGAGAAGGAGCGGAAGAAGAAAGAGGAGGAGAAGCAGAGAGCAGAGGAGGAGCAGAGGAAGAAAGAGGAGGAGGAGAAGAGGCAGCAGGAGGAGCAGGAGAAGAAGCTGCTTGAGGAAGAGGCCAAACGACAGAAAGAGGAAGAGGCTGCGCAGCTGAAGTAAGAGCGCTGGGCTTCTCCACTCCAAACACATGCATCTCTATCAGACTCTTACATTTGATTAAAAAACTCAATTAGAAGAATATACGCTCAGCTGTTACCAATCAAATGAAATCAGTGTCAGTAAAATCAGATTATAAGATGATATTTTAGTAAGAGCGCTGGGAATAGAGACAGCAGAATAAAAATATTCATGAAGCTGAAAATACAGACTAGATATATTTAAAATAATGTGTAGGTCACTTTTAGTAGTAACATCAGCCATTTGGCATTATCAGGACACACAAATATTCCCACACTGCATTATTATACATAATATTCAACATTATGTTTATTATAGTAGTTTAAATGTAGTACTGACACTAAAACTCTGTTCATTTTTGCTGAACTATCCACAATAAATACAGGAGGAATTTGCATATGTATATCTTTATTGCTAAGGCACTTTTAGGTAAATTGCCGTATTATATCTCTAAACTCTTAAGGCGAGACTCTACAGGGTAACTAGCAGATATCACCATGAACTTTCCCAGTTGATTAAGATAAGAAAAAATGTATTACAAGTTTTCTGTAATTTAATGTTTAAATATGCATATTTAATCTAATTTGCATATGTTTAATTTGCATACTATGGGACATTAGCTAATTTGCATATATAGAAAAAATGACATCTGGGTGTTTGATAAAGCTGGGTTCAAAATTATTTTTTCGTTGTGTTCACATAGTAGATGGGGGAAAATTACAGAGGGATTTATGGATGTCTACTTTTGTTGTCCTGTAAATCAGAATATATAGCCTAAATATTTGTGCCATGTTTTTGGGAATAAAGTGTTATATAAATCAGCCTAGGAATAATATATTTACAAGTCCCTTTGCAAATGTCTTCATAATATAACTAGGTACAGGCCTGGAAGGTTTGGTGTACATAACTGCTACTGAAGTGGAGGTTTCAGACTTGGAGTTTGAGAGAAAAGTCATTTCGAGAGAACAGGCTTTTAAAGATTTAGCATCAGCCAATGAGATTGCGCATTTGCATGCTTTTACTTTCACAATTGGTTGCTGATAAAAAGGAAATGACCATATTTGGACCCGACAGCATTGTACAGGAGAGAGAGAGAGCTTTCTAACGATGCGTGTGATGACGACGGTGAGAGCAGCAGGATGATTTAGATCCGCAACTTTTGATAAATTTATGAGAAATCAAGTACACATGCAAACAGACAAAGTGTCATAAATTAAAGACCGAAATGTGTATTTCAGACTTTTTTCACCACAGGTCTAAAAGAAAACATTATTGAAGACAAATTTCCCAAAATCTCAAAATGCCTGCCGTGTCTCGCCTTAAAGGGATACTCCACTTTTTTTGGAAATAGGCTCATTTTACCACTCCCCCAGAGTTAAACAGTTGGGTTTTACCGTTTCGAATCCATTCAGCCGATTTTGTGAGATTTAGAAGAATATCAGTAACCACACAGTTTCTGGTATCATTGACTTCCATAGTATATATGGCAAGTCATTGGGACCAGAAACTGTGTGGTTACTGATATTCTTCTAAATCTCACAAAATCGGCTGAATGGATTCGAAAACGGTAAAACCCAACGGTGCCTATTATTTCTAAAAAAAGTGGAGTCCTTCAACGATACAGATTGTTGCATTTTTGTAATGCGATATGAATTGTGGCCCGATGTATTGTCACACCCCTAGTGTTTGCTTTGTGTTTGGTCAGGGAGAAGGAGGAGGCCGATCAGCTCCAGCAAGAGGCGTGGGAGCGTCATCATGGCCGAAAGGATCTGCGGGTGAAGAACCAGCACGTGCAGGAGACCCGACCAGAGGAGGCTTTCTTCAGTCGCCTGGACTCCAGCCTGAAGAAGAACACGGCCTTCGTCAAGAAGCTCCGCACGCTCACGGAGCAGCAGCGCGCCTCGCTGTCGCAAGACTTCGACTCGCTCAACCTCAGCAAGTACATCGGCGAGGCCGTGAGCTCCATGGTGGAGGCCAAGCTGAAGATCTCAGACGTGGGTTGTGCTGTTCATCTCTGCTCTCTGTTCCACCAGCGATACGCTGAATTCGCTCCGTTGCTCCTGGGTGCCTGGAAGAGACACTTCGAGGCTAGGAAGGAGGAAAAGGCGCCTAACGTGAGCAAGCTGCGCACCGACCTGCGCTTCATCGCGGAGCTCACCATCGTGGGCCTGTTCACCGATAAAGAAGGGCTCTCGCTCATTTACGAGCAGCTGAAGAACATCATCGGCACCGACCGAGAGACGCACACGCACGTGTCCGTCATCATCAGCTTCTGCAAGCACTGCGGAGACGATATCGCCGGGCTGATGCCGAGAAAAGTCAAGAACGCCATCGAGAAGTTCGGATTGTCCTTCCCTCCGAGCCAGATCATTAATGCGGAGAAACAGCAGCCGTTCCAGAATCTGCTGAGAGAATATTTCACATCGCTCACCAAACACCTGAAGAAAGACCACCGAGAACTGCAGAACATCGAGAGGCAGAACAGGTCGGTTTGTAGATCCACCCTCGTCACTTTTCTGGGGTTTCTCAGAAGTTGAACTCGTCGCAGTTGTGTGGGTGAAGGTCTGATTTTTTTTTTTTTCAGACAGAACAGGTCGGTTTGAATGAGGGCTGAACGGTTTTGGAAAATAATCTTAATTGCGAATATCATTATTGTGATTGTAATACTTTATCTGTAATAGAGCCAGACCGATATATCGGTAGGCTGTTATTATTGGCCGATATCGGTATCGGCAGTTATAATGGCCGATAAATGAATATTTAAAAAATAAAATAAAACGGACGAAACACGCTTGAACTATGTCACGAGTGTTGGAGTTGTATAGTTTGTCCACCAGAGGGCACTCTACACCGTTCCTGTTGGCAAGCTAAACACTCATAGACTAGCTAACTATAAAGCTAATGCCAATATCATCAGTCTGTTCTGTTGTGACAATTAAAGAAACAAGTTTCT